TCCCCCGCCCCTGCCGCCCTGGGCTCCACGGGCACCGTCGCTCACCTGGTGGCCTCCCAAGGGTCTGCCCGGCACGCCGTGCAGCACACCACCTACCCTGCCAGCATCGTCCACCAGGTCCCCGTCAGCATGGGCCCGCGGGTTCTGCCCTCGCCCACCATCCACCCGAGTCAGTACCAGGCTCAGTTTGCCCATCAGACCTATATCAGTGCTTCTCCGGCCTCCACAGTCTACACTGGATACCCACTGAGCCCCACCAAGGTCAACCAGTACCCTTACATCTAAACACTGGAATCAGGAGCGAGAGATGCGCACCCATCCCCAGGGAAGTTGAGGCGGCTGCTTTTGTACTGAAGAACGTGGCAAAACTAACAATGCAATGGGAGGCTCGCGCTAAACTTGAATGAAGGAGACTCTAAGGAAGAAATGAAAGAGAGGAAAGAAGGGGGAGAACCAATTCTACGCTTTTTATTTAAAAAAAAAAAAAAGAAAATGGAAAAAAAAGAACAGAAAAAAAAATTAGACAAACCACACAAAAAACCAACCGTTCTGCACCAAACTAGAGAGAGAAGCAGAAGGACCCTCCAGCGGGTCCTGTCTTTTGAAGAACTTCACCAACAGACTTTTAAAGGTTATTTTCATCCAATAGTGAGCTACATTTAGAAATTTGTTGTCCAGAACACCTAAAATGAAATCCATTAGGTTTCTAATCCAATAGGTATATGGATTAGGGATTTATCCAGCATTTCAAAGGGTTCGTGTGCCATCTTTGAGGTGGTCTTCATCTCCCAAAGCATACATACGGTTTTGAGTTGTTCGGGTTTTTTTCTGGAAATAGAAAGTGGGTAAGGGAGGCTGAGAGAGGAGGAGGAAAATGTTGTCCCAGTGCTCTAAATTCGGATCTATCACTGCTACACTTACACACACCTGGGCAAAACAGCCCATGCAGCACTGGTTGAGAGAAGCGATGGGGATGATTCTCCCTTTCTCTGAAGGCACTGGATAAATCCCTGAGAAATGCTGATCCGAAATGAGATCTCTAATAATGTGTGTTGGATTTCAGTTGTATTTCATTTTATTTTATTTGGAAATTTTCCTATTCAATCCCTAGCCGTTTTAGTATAGGAGGAGACATTTTAGCTTCCCCACCCTCACTCCCACCTCCACCCCCCTGGTAGAATGTAGCACTATACAGGTCATATGCCCTTTTTTACTCTTTTGTGTTGAACTTCAACGATACCAATAGACTATTCCTCAATGTGATTGCACAAAGAAAAGTGATATAACATAGGCATGTAACAAATGTGATTGTCCAGGTATGTACGTGTGTGTGTGCGTGCGTGCGTGTGTGTGCAGATGCTGCCTTCTCTCTGTGGTGTGTTCCTCGGCACAGCCATTACAACTGTCACAGTCTTAGTTTTACATCATTCCCTCGTAGTGCCTTACCGAACTACAGACGCGGTTTAAGGGTTTACTTCCACTGGTACTCCTAGAAACTGACTGAGGCTAGTCGGAATTTACTCTCAGCTCTTTCTCTTTTTTTCTTTTTTTTTTCCTTGGGGTTGTTATTGCTGATTTTCTTCTTCTGCTGGTGGTGTTGGTTTGGGGTTGGTTCTTTTTTTCCCACGTTGTCAAATCTTAGCTCACTTGTCGAGGGGGAAGGCTCGTCAGGGTTGGAAGTGCGCATAGCTGGGTGTTTTGTCGAGCACTGGATAGCCTGGAAGTGACCAGGTGGGTTGTGAGACCCCAGGTGATTCCCAGAGGGTCTGGGGATTCATTTGTGGACTGGTCTCTTTCTATCCTGTTGAAATAGCAGGTTGCCTCCCCAGAAACTGAATTCTCATTCTGCTGTTTGCTGACGTTCTCGGTGGAGCGGGAGGACGGCGTCCACCCACGTTTTCAGGTTGTCCTGGTTGCGTGTCTGAAATGGGAACAAAACTTCAGCCCGTGGAAGGGGGAAACGCTGTAGATGTTGCCAACTTCTCTCACTGTCCATAGGAGGGGGCCAGGAAAGGGCTGGAGTCCCAAAGCAAGCACGAGAAAAATCCAGTCGAGAGAGTCAAACTCAGGTTTCTTAAGGAAAAAGAGTATTGTAATACATCTAGCCTTACCCACTCTAACGCAGCCCTGACAGTGTGCGCTTCTTCCCCTCCCTTCTCACTCACACCCCGAAAGATTGTCTGCAGCAGCAGAGTCACCCTGGAACTGGAGAGCACGGTGGTACGGTGGGTCCTCCCTGCCGAGGAATCCTATGCGGTGGTCTTGTTTTCCAACAGGTTTCCAGAGAGAGCCTTTCCTACAGCTGGGGTGGGTTCAGAGGGGATCCCCACTGGTAGTGGCAGTGGCGCTGGTCTATTAATATGTGGAAGTGTCTCTGGAGTACCCTCACCGGTGGATGGCCTGGGGAGGAAGGAGAGAATAGAGTCCGATAGAACGTTTCCATGTTTCCATGAAAGCTGAAGTTGACGTGGCTGCTCGGTTCCACTCTACATTTCCATGTAACTAGGGCATGAAGTATTCAGGTACTTCACAAGATGCTGGGTTCAGCAGCAGGGGTGGTGAGGGGTGGGCTCCCTGGTTGGCTGTGAGGAAAGAGGCTCTCACAGGTGGGAAAAGCTGATAGAAAGACAAGCACTAATTTAATGTCTTGCAGAAGGTGCTCAGCTGGCCTGGAAGGAGGAATCCCACTATGCGCAGGCTGTTCAACAAGGCTGTTCTCGTCTGGCAAACCAAATAACCTTCCTGGTTGCCAGCTCTGGTTCCTGGTTCCTGGGTTCCCCTTGCACAGTTTTCTTCTCCTGCCTGGCCTTCATTCCAGCTCGATCTACTGTAGATGAGGGTGCAATCTCCCGGCAGCCTGTGCGCCTTACTCGCTCTTCCTAGGAAAAGACAACACGTCCCCTTTCATCTGGGGCAGGAAAATAGAGCCCTGCTCTCTCTGTTGCATTCCTCTCCTCTCCCACCAGGTTGGGAGTGAGAGTGTCATGCTGCTTGTGTCATGAAAAGGAAAGATAATGTTATTTTATTATATGGTTGTTATGATTATGATTATTATTTTATTATATTATATTTTACTCTAGGTTTTAATTGCACACGCATTCCTTAATCTTCGTGGGTTGATTTTTTTTTCTCTTAGTATTGTTGTTAGTGCTAATTTTATTTCTCTTCATCAGTGGCATCGGAAGGGTTGCTCTGTTTGTGAAAACTGCAGAAGGAAGGGGAAATGAGATTGTCTTGAGGATGAAAACTCTGCCACTATCATAGGGAGAGTGAGGCCACTCTATGAGAGTGGTTACAGACTTGAGGGACAGGAGTTTTCCTCTGGGTCACATCTGCATTTCAGAATAAATCTAGAAACGTTCATTCAGGGGCCAAAACAAACAGCAGCTACCATAGTGATCTGTCAGGAGAGCTGGATCAAAGGCAGGTAATGACCTTGGTGCCCAAGAGTCCAGCTCACCATCGCTTTGCTTGGTAGGAGGTTTATATGAGATCAAGATCTATTTGTGCTCTGGGCCATGATCATCAGACTCTCTCCATGAACCCAAGGCCACGCTGCACGTTAAGAGTCAGGTTTTCCTAAAGGAGAAAGCAGACAGCTGGCTCTCCAGAGACAGGGCTGTCGGAGGAGCCGCAGCGGAGGCGTGAGCGCGGTTCTCAGTCTCGTCACTGGATGAAGGACTGCGACACGCACGGTGGCGTTAGCTGGGTAGAACGCGGCCGCAGACAGGGCAGGGATCCTAACTTGTCCTCTACTCTCACTGCAGGTTAGTTAATGAGATGTCTGCAGGGCCGGGATGCTTTGGTTTGCTTTGGGATTTTTTTTTGTCCCTGATGTAGATTTTCCCTTGTTTTATAATTATTTGTTGTGGAATTTTATTAAGCTATTCTGGTTGCTAGAGTTTAAATATTTATGTTTTCATTTGGATCGCCTGCTCTGTTAGAAGTTGGGGGAAGCAGTGACTGAATTTAAACTCCATGAAAAAATGATAGGGCTTCAGTAGAGACTTAAAGTTAATCATGCATTTGAGTGCTTTGCTAAAGAACAGACTTAAACTCTTCAATTTAATTACTTGTTTATGCGCTCCTCTGGCCTAGGACCGCCGAAGCGTGGAAGGTTGCAGTCTCAATCACAGTAATGTTTTACTTGTATTAATTACATTTTCCCTGTGCACCCATCTGACCTGCTCTCCCACGCAGGCTTGAATCTGATTTTGGAGGGGGTGTTTGGCAGTGCAGCTGTTACAAGAGCACAGGCTGGCAGCGAGAAGGGTCGCAGGCGTGTGTCAGAGGAGCCGCCTTTCACGTTTTCCATCCCCAGAGCTGCTGATCTGCCAGCTGCAGGTGGTCAGATGTTCGCGGTGATGGAACGCCGCGATTGTAAGAGACGTGCAGCGCAGCCATCAAATTGCTTTGATGGTGCAACACTGCGTGAGGGCTGCGTTTTCGGGGCGGGGGGTGGGAGAGCTGGGCAACACCTCCTCTCTCACACTGGTGTGGAGGCATCATATGGAAAAAGGCGTGGTATGGTTAGTCACAGGGAAAACACGGTAGTTTCAGCAGAGGAAGCAAAAGGTGTGCGTGCTGTCAGTGCCACGTCCATAAACAACAGCCAGCTTGTTTCACTTGCTGAGTCCTTTGCAGAGGAAATGGGATCAGTGCAGTTGGGTTAGTGTTCTTCATGTACGTGGGCTAAACAGCACAGAAGTTTGAGAGGGGAGGTGAATGTTTAGATACTGGAAGGTTTATGGGTGGCTTACGGCTGGCACGGTGAAAAAGAGGTCCCTTGCCCCGTCATCTCATCTTGCAGTCTTCTTGCGCAGGAAGCGGGAGGAAGCGCAGGTGTTGCCTCTTCTCGGAGGTGGATGTTCAAATTCCTGCTCTGAAAGCAGAGTGCAGGAGGGAGAGGGGAGAACCGCTCATGTGAGCAGAATGGAAAACCCAAATGGAAGCACTTCTCACTGCAGACTGGGCCAAATCCAGTTGTTTGAGAGAGCAGATGCAGTTGCATCTTCCTCAGCAGAGTTGTACCTGCTTGCACCCAACAAATTGGGCCTTGGCGGGTCTCTTTCTTTCTCTCTCTCCCTTTCTCCAGTAGTTTTGTCATAATACGTAAAACCTTCCCAGAAAGGGACGCTTCTGTCTGTGAGATTTTTCCTTTTTTGTACTTTCAGGGGATTATGTCTTATAATTTGGTTTGAAGGCAAACTTGAAAGGCGATAAACCTGTTTTTTTCCTTTAACCAAAGATCCTTTTTTTTCTTTTTTTTGAGAGAGAAAGAGACCCCCACCCACTCCAGAAATTAAATGAAGCCATGAGTCATGACCGTTGCACAAGATACGCTGTGGAGCTCCATCTTCCCTTTCTCTTCTTCTTTCTTTTCCTCTCTCAAGTTTGTGTCATGGTTTTCAGTAGCTAGTTTGACAGAGAAATTCACACTAAATATTGCTGCTATCCTAAACTGTAGGGGA